CCGAAAAAGGACCAAAACAGAACAAAGCGATAGATCAAGGACCAAGTTGCAAATAATCCATAGATGAGACGGGAAATGAAATGAAGATTCAAGAGTGTTAAAGTTCAATTGGATGAGGAAAGGAATCAAGAGGTGAAATATGGTCGAAGTATTATCAAGTATCAAATTTCAGGCGAAAGAGTTATGCTCGTGATTTTGAGTTTCTACTTGAGATCCATTTTTGTCATAGTAAACATCAGAATTTGAGGAAGCCTATTTCTATCAAAAGTGTAAATCTTTGAGTTTTCGTCCCAATTCACTTTGAATCACCTCAATCGGAGATTAGGAGAGAAAGTTATGACCAAAATATTGAAAGCTGTCCGGAGGAAAAATTTTATAATCATGCGGCCGCATGGTTATAATTCCTTGCGGCCGCACAGGGTATTGCAGGGATCCAAATGAGCTGAAAAATTGAACCATGCGACCGCATGGTTTAACACCATGCGGCCGCATGGCTTTAAGGTCGATAAAAAATTCTAAAATCCCGTTTTTAATTGAAACTCTTTCGGGGCTCCGTGGGGACATGATATAAAAGTCAAAATTCATCAGGAAAAGGGCAGAACGTCCAGGGAGAAGAAGAATACAACTTTTGGAGACAAGGAACACAAACTTGAAGCCGATTTCACAAGGATTCAAAGGGATTTTCAAGGTTTTGTTCAAGAATTTAGATTTCAAGAACTTTCATACGGGTGTTATTCCTTCTAGTCATTAATTTCATTTTGTTTTCTGTAATTATGAATCTTCTAGACTAGGGTTTTAATTACTAGGTGATCGATGAACCGTTGTTTGTTATTTTAATTCTATATTTCATGAACTTGATATAAAGATTCGTTGGATATTTTGATTGATTTACATGCATTAATTTTCTTCCGCAATTAGTGGCCAATGATTGTGTGAGTATTGATGACTTGTTTCTTACATTCGAGAGAAGTGGAATAGGTTCGATAAGGTGTAAATCAACATAGGGTCCGATAGGGGATAGAGATATACCCCTATGCTTTATGTAATTCTTAAATTGTTCACAAAACTACATGCATTCTTGTATGTTTGCATCATCCATAGAGATATAGGTTGGTGGTGTGCAAGAATAGGTCTAATATATATCGAGAGAGTATATTGGATAGAATAGGAACATTGAATTGGCAAATTTTCATCGAATCATTAATTTTATGAAATTAGGGTTTTTATAACTTCAATTCGGGATTCGTGATCCTAGTGACTTTAATTTGATTAATTTTAATAAATTAGCTTTTAAACTTGCTTAATTTCATTTACTTGAGTGTTTAAGTCGTTTAATTAGAGAAATTTCGAAATTAGGGTTTCTAATTGAGAAATTAGGGTTTTCAATTGAAATTAGGGTTTTGAAATTAGGGTTTTTAGTTGAAATTGGGGCTTTTTGCATTTAGATCACATTTTCACTCAATTAGATTCGGTTAAGGCTAGATTAAATAGAATTTAACTACTCAATCTCTGAGGGACGATATTCGGACTTTTAAAAATCCACTTTATTACTTGTTACGAACCGTACACTTGCGGTAGTTTTAAATCGAAAGAATTATTTCGTGAACATTGTGCACTAATTTAGTGATCATATTAAAGCATTTTAAAATTCAGTGAGTAAAGTACAATGAAGGCTTACTTCACTGACTAATGAAACATGTTGAATGAATTATGAAGTACGAAATGTTGAAATCTAGCGATCATTTGAAAGCACTTTAAAATTCAGTAACTTGTGAGAAAAATGGTGAGTAAGTGATATAGTGTTCCCGTTTGGCCCCCATTTTTTGGAAATGAAAATGGGTGGAATGATATTTTTTTTTTAATGAGTGGTTGAAAAAGAATGAATTTTTTTGATATACGTGTAATATTATTTTATGAAAGATTGTGCGGTTGAAAATAGAAGAGAGAAAAATATAATAGAATGGAATGAAATTTAATGGGGGTCAAACAGAGGCAGTATAATGTGTTAAAATTCAATAATCACTCGAAAACATTTTAAATTGCAATGAATAATATATGACTAGGGTATGAGTTCAATAAAACGTTTAACTCTAATGTTTGGTGTAATAAATGAATCAATGCAAAATTTAACGATACAAGTTACGCCAAGTGAAAAGTTTGATAAAAATTAAGCCCTATTTGGTTTAGATAATTTTAGATTTCTAGTAGATTTTGATTCAAATTAAAGTAATGTGTGATTGAAAATTGACGAAAATAGTGAATCGTATTTGAAAATAATTTTTTAAAAATGAGACCATTATTAATCAACCCAAATTTTTCCAATCAAATTCATTTTTATTTTATATGAACATCAAATACTACAAAGAAAGAAATACACACTTCTACCAAACCATTTTTAATTTCTATAAATTAATTTCATAAACATACACACGCTATATTTGCTAGCAAAATGGAATGGCAAAAAAACTCATCAAATCCGATACCCACGGTTTAGGGTTGGGATTACCTACTTGATCGGATATTTGGGTTGGGTGCGGGACGTAAAATTTTCGCCCTGGAGCAAGTACATGTAACAAGGGCCCCCGTCCCACCTTTCCCCATCCATTATTTATTTATTTATTTTGAATGGTTCAACGATTTAAATGGAAAAACTCCATGAAATTTCATTAATTCTAATAGATTATGGCTAATAAGATTATCTAATGAATGGTAAATAATAAAAACCTTATTTTATCAAATATATTCAAATAATTTAATTTTTAAAAATTATTTAAATAATTAAAAAATTCAATAACTATATTATTATCTCACTTTAATGAATAGAACAATAAAATGAATTATTAAAAAATAAAAAAAAATTAAATTAAATGGGTAAGTAATGAGGCAAGGACCCCATCTCGTTCCGAACCCACCACGTTGTCATCTCTATACCCCAGGTCTTGCTCTTCATCCTAGAGTAGATGTATTGAATGTGCTGAGCCGCTCGACTCACTTATTATCGTACTCAACTCGACTTGACCCACCAGGTGAGTCAATTCAAACTCATGTGTGAGGTGAATTGAACACAAGCTGGCTCGCTTCATCAAATGTGGTCTCCATTGAATGCTTTTATCGCTCAGCAAAGATCATGTGAGTTGCTTTCTAGGTTTTAGTGAAAAATGCTTTTCACTCACAATTTCCTAGTCGATTTTCGAGCCAATTCTAGTGCTCGGCTCATCTGTGGGGTGAGTTGAACCGACCAATGACTCACGCCATTTAACACTTCTATCCTCGTGTATGTTTGGTAAGGATGCTGTAAAGTTCAAAGGCTCTAAATGGAAAACAAAAGTGCTTATTTACTTTAAAATAGTTTTTTTTCATTATTTTAGACAAAAAGCCGAAATTAAAATTTATAGTTACAATACTTTTTTAATTGTCTTAATAAAATATCGACTTTGCCTTAATTAAATAATAATTAGCCACATTAGCACACATACAAATAGATCTGGGCAAAAAAAAAAAATAATCAAAAAAATCGAACAAATCAATCAAACTAAATTGACTCAAGTCGGCTTGAGTTAGTTTAACACAGATAATTGATTTGTTTGGTTTTTTTAAACAAATTCATGGTCGGTCGATTCAGCCATGGGTTGAAGTCTCAAATCGCTGATTAACCGTACCGACCCAACTCATTTACATGTTATTTCTTTAAGAAAAATAAAAATCAAAAGATAAGCCTTATTGCATAACTATATATCAATTCATTCCAATTATAATGTTGCTAGTAAGTAATAGCATTAAAAATTTCTTTTTACAAGCTCTTTTTTTTCCTATTCGAACCAAATCAGACCAAACTAATTTAATTTGGTTTGATTCGATTTAAGAATTAGAGTAGGTTGATTTAGGTTGAAATTTATCCAAATCAATTAGTTTGGTTTTGATTTCGAGGTTGAAATAAAAATCGATCCAAATCAAACAGCTCCCAAGCCTACGTTCAAAAACTTTCACACTTTGTTACTCTAAATAATATGATTAATGCACGAGAACTCAATTCAAATATTAATTTTAATGGATTTAATAGGTTATGAAATAAATTGTAAAAATGAGATACGTAATAAATAGGTGCAGATTAAACAATAAAGTAAAAAGGAAAATTGTTTAAAAGACGAGGCCAAAAGGAGATAAATTTTCTCCACCAAAAGCCCCAGGTTTTCACACGCTTTTGATAGGGGTGCCGTCATGTTAACACCTTGTTGGCCTTTTATAGTTATTCACTACCGTAGTCCTCATACTTGACATACATGTGGCGGTTAGTGATTTGATGTATAAAACAATAAAAAAATCTCACATTAATGCATCAAATCACTAATCGTCACATGTATGTCACGTGGGGCGACTACGGCGGTGAACAACTGCAAATAGCATTACTTTTTTTTAATCTTTCAATGGAAATTTATCATGTGTTTTTTCTATAAAATTTCTATTAATTTTATTTTTATTTTTATTTTTATTTTTGGGCATTTCTGTTTTTCCACGGGGTACAACTAGGATGCTAATGAACATAGGTTTTTTCTATTTGATACCCCGTGTACGATCCCCTCACGAGACGGGGGTCGTCAATTTTCGATGTACGTATAGCATGTCTCGTGCACATGACAAAAGACCAAGAAAAGTTGGACATAGAATACTGTAGCATATCGGCGTCAACGGCGCCGTTTTAGCTATTGTCGGTCCAGCTGACACCTCGTTGGCACCATCAATTCAATAGTCACTGGCAGCATGCTCCCAAATGGGGCCCTTTCCTACGCCGTCTCCTGCATGTAGAACACGTGTCGGCGGCCTCAAGTGACTTCTAGCGCTAACTCCCACGCGCCACCACCCAGATTTATTCCCCTTTCACCACTGCCACTCACACGTTCACGTCGTTTTCTTTTTACTAAAATCTACTGTTCTTCTGATTATTATTTTCTGTACTGTATTTAGCTGTCAACGGCGAAAATATTTTTTTTAATTTTGTATTTGACGTATTTATGTGAAAAAGTAAACAAATAAAGAAAAGAGGAAGATTTTGGGTCTTCCTTTCAACAATTTTTACACACCTTTCGATGCCATTTATTTATTTTATTTTATTTTTAAAATTACACAATCCCTTTTCGAAGGTTCTCTCTCTTCTCTCCGTTTCATTTTTTCTACTGAGCTCTGTAAGGCTGGAACGATTTGATTGGTAAGTCATGTCGGGCCTTTACAATCCCAACTTCTCTCCTGCAAGAGCTGTGTCTCCACAGATTAGAAACACCCCAGATGTAGACAGGTATATTTTTACTATTTTTTGATTCTTTAGATTCTTCAATTAGTTAGTTACTTTGAATTGGTACTGATGATTTGATCGATGTCGGATTTTAATTTTGTTGCTTCTTTTAAACAAACATTAGTAGTCAGTATTTGCAAGAGCTGTTGGCGGAGCATCAAAAGCTTGGGCCTTTCATGCAGGTTCTTCCCATCTGTAGCAGGCTCTTGAATCAAGGTGAATTTTGATTGTTGATACTTCCAGTGCGTGTTGGATCTAGGATTGCAGGGTTTTTGAGTGTTTTACTTGCATTTTGGGGGATTTGGCATTAATTGTTTCCTTCTAGATGTATTCGATATATGTATGATGTATGTATGTACCTGAATAAACGGCCTCCTCTCACTTACCAGCAAGTAATATTTATGTATTCCTTATTATCTATAAAGTCTCTGCCTTTTGTTATCATTTGCATCTAAATTAATTCTTTATGATTAACTATATCTCTCGATTTGGTGATAGCCATTGGCCGCCCAAGTGAACACATAATGTAAAGATGTCCACTCATCCATGTGAAATATTCATCTTCGTTGGAGCTTTTTGGTAGTGCTCTTCCCTAAATATGAAATGAAATCAAATCAAATCAAATCAAGTCATTGTGTGTAATTTGCATTTGGAGACTTTGAATATAATCCTGTGCAATGGGGAGTCAGGGGACCCAAATGCCTGAGAGTTAATCAATGCACTTCCAATACTTTTCATTTGGGGTGGGGTTGTGCTCTGAATCCAGACACAAATGTGTAATTGGGAAATAGATGTGAATAGATAAAGTTGCCAAAATTTGTAAGCTATTCCTGATACCCTGTCATGAATGGTTAAGAATTGTTTTTGAAGGTTGAGAAGAGACTCCAATTATATTGTTCTTATATCTAAAAAAATTTAACGCATTTTGAAGCAAAGACACTGATCAATGTTTCCCATATCGAGCTAGATATTAAAGCTTTGTATTGACATTGCTACGGATATTTGCTTATTTATAGGGGAGATGTGTTAAAATACTCTTTGAGCAAGGACTTGCTAGAAGAGAAAAACTATATGATTGACAATGATATTACAATTTTATATACCAAGAACTGATATTTAGAGCTCCTCCTGAGAAGCTCCAGCAGAGTAGTTCAAGCTTTGAGTAAATAGCTATGACCAAGGAATCTCCATTTCTTGCTCATCCTTTCATTTTTTATTTTGGCAATATCTGGTACATTTTCCGGGGGTGCATTTTGGCATTGTGCTTCAGACACTAATTAATACTTATTTCTGGTGATAGTAGCATTTAACGATTTCTGCTCGAGTGGAATGATTTTTACACGTGGTATTCATATTGGAGTCAGGAATTACCTTGTTTTAGGAATCTCTTTGTAATGCAATATACTCTCTTGTTAAAAATTCACGTGCTACAAGAGTAAAAACAGCTGTTGTCTAAGTGATCTCAAAGTATATAATTCTTACACTTTCACTGCCGGTGCATTCTTTCAGAGATCATAAGAGTTTCCTCGATGATGCCAAACCAAGGTTTCAATGAACTTGACAGATTAAGGCAAAGAAGTCCAAGTCCTATGGCTTCTTCAAATCTTTTATCAAATGTTGCGGGGGCAGGAATAACTGGCTGGAATGGACTTCCTCAGGAGGTCGCTAGTTTTCTAATCCTTTGGTTACTTTCTTGTTATCTTATAATCCATATTCAGCTGATGCAATGATATTGTACCAAAAAAGAAACTGCAATAGCATGATCTGGTATATCTGTAGTCTACTTAGAGTATGGGCCTCTGGGGTCGGGGATGGTGGAGGCTTCCATCCTTGATGATTCAATCCGTGTTTTGTTTTTCTGTCAAACTGATGCTCGAGGTTTAGAAGTTCTAATGTCAAATGGGATGCATGAGGATTCAATACCACATGCTCTCTAGAAGCTGTTGAACTTGACTTGGGACTTCTCCTTTTTCCCTTTTAGCAATGACATTATAGCAAAAAAAGATGCTACAATTACTTGAGTTTTTTCTGTTTCTTTAGATTGATTACGGTGTGTGACTGTGAGTGTCATGTATACCAAATTGATGCAAAAAAGAAAATGCATTCTGAATTTTGAATGATAGATAAAATCCTCACTCTTTTATCATCCAATGGATTGGCTGATGTTTCCATTCATTTCAGAACTCCTTAATGGTGTAAAACCTTTGTGAACGAGACATGTATCTTTAGATTTATTTCGCTCTGATGCTTCATCATTCAGGGTGATTGTCAATTCTTTTCTACATATGTATGTTACACAAAATCAAAATACTAGATCGACTCCTACTAAACAAGCATGATGTGTATTAAAGATGTTTCCTTTGTTCCCCTTTACTCCCAATCCAAAAGTTATTGTGCATAAGACATAGGTTGCAAATTTAGCTTTTGACAAAGGAGGGAAAATATCTATTTATACGTAGTTTAGATCATTTTATTGAGATGAGTATTTGATATAAATTATATTCATTTGACCATATTACCATTGTGGTAGAAGTTTACCAGGCCATCTCTAGACTTCAAACAGTTTTCTTTAGTCATCTTTATGTGATTCGTGAGTCTAATTGTTAGTTCTTCAAAATATTTTCCCGAAATTGAGCAATTCTGTAGAAAAGGAATTGCTGTTGAATCCATCTTATTCTTGAAATTAATAACCGCTCAGCAAATAGAATATCATGTGTTTTTCCCTCGGCCTTTAGTTTCCTTGTAATCCAATCTACAAATTGACTCAAAGCGGTCTCTTGACCAACTCCAGTTGCCCTAGAAGCAAACCTTACTACAAAATTAGCAGCAACGTGGAAACAGAATATTTGGAAGGATTGATGATGAGGTCTGCCCCCAAAAAATTGTAATAGTTTTGGTGCGATCTATCAATCCATCATGACTTACTATTTTATTGATTGGATTCATCCTGTTGAATTAGCTACGAACTTCGAATTGAAGCATAACATAGAAACAATTCTAGTGACCTATTGTTTATTTATTTATTAAATTTGGAAAAATTGTTTCTCCAGCCAACTAGATGTGTTCATAGTCATGAATAGAAACTTCAACTGAAGTCACTTGCTGAATTCTCAAGTGCACTAAGCAACCTATAGATGGTGAAGCAACATTCATTGTAAAGGAGCTGAAGTTTAATTAAAAGATACATCATGCGTCGTATCGTATTAATAATGTCATTAATTATACTCTTATTCTTATCAGGACAAATTCATTGTATCTTGTAAATTATGAACCTCTTCTGGTTGTTTCTTATTTGTGACTGGGGATGTTGTGGGACTCTTACCTGACCTTGTGCTTGTTTGTACAATCTTCATTTTCACTAATCAAATTGCAGAGATGCTTTTTTTGCCTTTTATGGACATATCTGATACAATTTCTTAGAATCTGTCAATTTTGCTTTACTATTGGGAAGCAACATAGTCAATGCTTGTATAAAACTTCAACATCATGATTTTTGTTTGAACAAAGTTTCCATCTTTCAAAAAGAGAGATTATTTCATATGTTTTGAGCTAGAATTTTTGTAATGTTTAATCATTTTCTACAGAAGTCAATGCATTTAGTTTATTCTATTGTGTCCAATAACTTCTGAGCCTCCATCGACCCCGCTGCATTCTTTTTTTCTTTCTATAGATAGTTCTTTTTAATCTTTCGAAATTAAGCCAATTCCTCTGATTCTTCATTGCATGGCAGAGAATGAGTAGGCCTCCTGGAATGACAATGGACTGGCAAGGGGCTCCTGCAAGTCCTAGTTCATTCACTGTGAAAAAGATTTTGCGCCTAGATATTCCTGTAGATAACTTTCCAAATGTAAGAATTTTTCAGTATTCTGGTTTCCTGTACTGACCTCCATCAATTCATCATGGTTCACTTTTGTTCTTTAAGATTTGAATCTTCCTCTCTTGACTTGTCATTCTTGGGTTTTGTAGTTCAATTTTGTGGGACGACTGTTGGGCCCTAGAGGAAATTCACTGAAACGAGTGGAAGCCACAACAGGATGCCGTGTATATATTAGAGGAAAAGGTTCAATAAAGGACCCAGACAAGGTACTTTCAGTGTCATTCATTTTTCATAGTCACTAAAGATGAAAGCTCATTGTGAAACAGCTATACAGTTGGATCGATAACTATGAAAATTCATGTATATTGCCAATTGGTATATTTCTGTCTGCAATGTTAAGTAAATTTTAATTCTATTCGTTCGTTCAATTTGAAGGAGGAGAAGCTACGGGGACGACCTGGTTATGAGCACCTCAATGAATCACTTCACATCTTGATCGAGGCTGATTTGCCTGCCAATATTGTTGACATCAGACTGAGGCAAGCCCAGGAGATAATAGAAGAGCTGCTGAAGCCTGTGGTATTCATCTCGAACCAAATTCTCTCTTCTGACCATTCTCTACAATTTCAATTTTCAAACAAAGAAAGATCTTAGAAATGAAAGTTTGAACTCTATTGAAGTGCATGTATACCATTTATCTGAGCACACCGATATTAGCCCTCTCTTTCAGACATCAATTTATTAAAGTTAATAGTATGCCTGAACCTTCTGTTCAAAGCAAGTATAATTTTGATAATATCTTTCCTCCCTTCCCTAAAGATATGGCAGTCGGCTTAATTGCATTCTTATTTTCACGTTTCTGCAGGATGAGACGCAGGATTATATAAAGAGGCAGCAATTACGTGAACTGGCCATGCTAAATTCAAGTTTCAGAGAAGACAGCCCTGGACCAAGTGGCAGCCCCTCAGTTTTCACTACTAGTGGAATGAAACGTGCAAAAACAAATTAAAAAATATATATATATATTTGATGTTATATATTTGCTCTTACATAATTGAAAATCTAAGAAAACAGATGATAGGTCTCTGTAGCTTTTTGGTTGTGTTTTCTTTTTTCTTTTTTCCTTTAATTTCTTGAACAGAAAAACTGAAGGGGGTGGAAACAAAAAGAACAAAGTGTTCCCATATAGTTGGTTTTAGAATAGGTTTTGGTGATGTCTGGTTCTCTTGAACTCATTCATTGGATTTATTCTTGTGTTAGTATATAGTGTGAAATATGTTTATTGTTGATACAACAGAGCAACAAGAAGTGACTTGATTTGTAGGTATCTTCTTGTTATAACACCTATGTATTATTTAAGATTCTATTTTAAGACAATATATTGATGGCTTTTCTTACTTAATACTGTAAATTACTATTTAATCCTCCTTGCCAAACATGCCATAAAGATTTGATATAATTTTTACTACCTTGAAGTGTTCTACCAATTGATCCAAGGCTGCATTCGAATTTGATTGTTAGATATTATAGGACAGGGCTGGGTTGTGAATCTATCTAGTGGGATTATGTTGTATTTTGCAACTCTATTGAAAGAGTGCAAAATATTGAAAATGGCGGAAAGAAATTAATTGGCATTTCATGCTGTTGGAGGTTTTAAATTTTTCGAAAATTTAACTCGACTCGGTACAGATTTATACTTGAAATCTTGGCCATGGTTCTGCATATGGTTGCTATATCTTGCTGTAGGCATTGTATCTCTGTAGCTTGATGCTACTTATTGGCTTTACATAGTATGTCATTTTAGCAATATCAGAAACTGCATTGTGGAAATTTCCGGTGCTGTCTTCTCTTTATGTGGATTCCCATTGTTGAATGCGGTCTATTGGAGTTGCTCGCTTGGATCGATCTTCAACGGAAAAAAGTAATGTTATTTAGCATCACATGTATTATAATTTATGTGGCAACTGCATGACAGTAAATGATATATCTACTTAAATATAACGTAATGTGATTTACTTAATTGAACCTACGATAAAGTTTTGAATTTAGTCAAGTTAGATTTCGATATGTATGCATTTTGGTGCGCTACATTGGAGTGGATCGAAGATTCTTTGCTAATACTGTATATCCCATCATATTCAACAAATTAACATATAACTCTTTAACAAGGTTGCGAATTAGTGTGATGCTTTACACTCTGCCTAAGCTAAAATTCTTGTTTTTCCTAAAGAAGGAAATTTTGAACCTGATGACATTAAAGACAAAATTCTCCCTCGTGTAATATTACGTTTTTTGCACGTCTTTTTGATAATTAGAAAAAAAAAAAAAAAAAAAAAAGGTTAACCCCAAACCT